TTTGTGTGTGTGTGTGTGTGTGTGTGTGTGTGTGTGTGTGTGTGTGTGTTTATAGTTGCCCGCTGAGATAGCAGAATTATGATTATGAATCATGTACCTCCTCACCGTGCTTTACCACGAGTCCTGGGTGAGTCTGCAAGCCTCCACATCTGGGTAGGATTTTTCTAAGTAAGTGTATATGCTACAGGGTGGATCTCATGAAAACTATGCAAGTCAAACTTTGCACGAAATAAAACATTTTGCATAAAGAAAATTAACCCTATTTTAATCACATGTATATGTTAAAATAGTCCTAAGATGTCAACAATAATTGAGATGCATAATATCTATATCAGTATCAATATCAGTCAACACTAGTTGTTTTGTTTGTTTGTTTTTTTGTTAAAAGTACTATACAGTAAAACATATTTGTGTGTATGTATATGCATTTAAAAAAATAATTTTGGAACAATTTTATATATATATATACACACACACACACACACAGTCAAACATTTGGGATCAGAATGATTTTTAATGTTTTTACAGGAGTTTCTTCTGCTCATCAAGGCTGAATTTATTTGATCAAAAATACAGGAGAAAAAATGTAATATTGTGAAATATTATTATGATGTAAAATAACAATTTTCTATTTTAATATACATAAAAATCTAATTTATTTCTGTGATGCGCAGCTGTATTTTCAGCATCATTACTCCAGTCTTCAGTGTCACATGATCTTCAGAAATCATTCTAATATGCTGATTTATTATCAGTGCTGGAAACTGTTGCGCTGCTTTATATTTTTTTGAAACCTGTAATCATTTTTTTCAGGATTCTTTGATGAATAAAAAGTTAAAAAGAAGAGCATTTATTTAAAATAGAAATCTTTTTCTATTTTTCCAACATTCATAATTCTAATTTCATTTTTTTTAAGCCTTGAAATGCTAAAATATACTACAAAAACATGCAAGAAAAAAATCTTAAAATAAATTTTTGTTAAATGCAAAATGCATTTTTTTTTAAATATACATTTTGAACAATATAAATATAAATATATTTAGTTTTAAAAATTTAGTAACTAAAATGTATGTTTGTAAAATATATCAGCAATTATATGTAAAAATATATCTGATTTTTTAATGAAGAGACCTGTCTTTAATTGTTAATTGGTGTGGAAATCACTAGAAGAAAGGTAACTTGGTTTTCAATTTTTAGTTTAGTTTTAATTCTTACCTTGAGCTTGATCCACAATGTTTAGCTAAACATTAAATCTGTCCTGGCAAACCATCACTCAATTAGTGTCATGATTATCCACCTGATATTCCAGCTGATTAGATGATTGACAGCTGTCTCGCCCAATGAGCAGTCGGCGAGTGGAAACGGTGGCTGAATAGAAGCGTCTGATTGGCTGACACGGAGATTCCATTGGAAAAAGCACCTCGGAAGATTCTCATTACAGCACGATGAAACACATAATCAATAATTCACCTCATATCTCCGCGGAAGAACCGTCTCCGCTTACACCGAGTTCACGATCAAAGTTGAAAGCGGCTATTTAATTGACAACAGATGTAATGTGACAGTCTCCTTTGTGAATAAAGTGAGACTCCAAAAAGCGATTAGTAAGCTTTGAGTATCGCATGATTCGCCTCATTAGCACAACAGAGGATGAATCAGCAGGCGCTATTTGATAAAACGGTGTAATTAAGACACTTGAACTTCTCAAAGTCGGCAAACTGAAGGCTTCCTACGCAAATGATCTTCTTAAAGCATCTTTGAGGAGTCAAGAACGTGACCTTTTAGATTCAGACAAGGTCAACAACCAAAAAAAACGGATCAGGTGTCAATAAAACACAACAAATACTCAAGATGTGTGTGTTTTCCCATCATGCTCTTGTCGCTGGAGACCGGCTGGCTTTGGTATTGTGTAACTGTGTTTTAGCTTCCACAAAGCAGCCGATTGTTTCAGACCACGAAGGTGATTGTATCTCCAAGACCTGATTTAGCTGCCAATACGGCTGAGTTCACATTGACTGGAAGAGGTTTTGGAACAAATGTGGCCTGGATGCTTTTCCAGAGGTTAAATATCGCCCCTTTTTCCATTTCATTTGGTTTTTAATGCGTTGTGAAGTCATCACAACACGTGATTCATAATGTGATGTACTTCTGAAATGTAAGGTGGCCAAAAAAATTATTAAATAAATAAATAAATGAATAATAAATCAGCTTGACTTCATGGAAATATATTGGGATACATATGAGATATATTTTCCTGATTGAAAATATATTAAATCAAATGCTAAAATATATTACAAAATGTCAACGAAGATACATTTTCCAAACTTAAAATACATTTGGGTGAAAATAAGCAAATATAATTTATAATTCAATTTAAATAGAAGTAACTAAAACTTATCAAAATATATATTTATGTATATAAATGTATTTTAAAATCTATATTAGTGATATATTTAAAAAGCATTTAATTTAAACCTTTGTTTCCAAACTTTAAATGCATTTTAGGTAAAAATGCGAAATATAGGAAATATAACTAACTAAAACTGATCAAAATATATTTATGTAAATGTGTTTTTGTATGTTGTAAAGATGCAGCTTAAGGAAATAGATTTTTCAAATGTAAAATATTTTATTTAAATCTTCAAATGCTAAAATATATCACAAAATGTCCAAAAAATATGTTTGCAATCTTAAAATAGAATTTGGGTAAATATAGGAAATATAAACCACTAAAGCCTATCAAAATATATTTATGTAAATGTACTTTAAAATCTATATTAGCATTCAATTTTTTTTTTTTTTGGCCATTTTTTTATTATTTCTGGCCAAAATAAGTTATGCTAAATAAACAATGCAGCTTAAGGATATATATTTTTCAGTTTTTTTTTTAAACCTTCAAATGCTAAAATATATTGCATAATGTGCATTATGTTTCCAATCCTAAAATAAATTTTTGTAAATATAGGAAATATAAGTAACTAAATATCGAAATATATTTATGTATTTATATTAGCAATATATATTTTGACCAAAAATATATGCTGAATATATGTTGTAAACAATGCAGTTTATGGAAATATGTTTTTCAAATTTGAAATATTTAGTTTAAAACTTCAAATGCTAGAATATATTACAAATGTGGAAGAAAATACATTTCTGATATTAAAATAAATTCAAAAAATTTATTTTGAACAATATAAATAGATTTAGATTATATCGTTTTTTAGATTTTAACATTAGCATTATATTAAATATATTTTAAAATAGCCTTATATTTGTTGTATATTTTGAAATATATTTACAAATATATCCGTAAACATATATAATCATTTTTAATTATATGGGGAAGCGTCACGTCAACTGAAAAATAAAAATCATTTCAGATGTGAAGCGAGTTAAAATGGGGTCTATATTGATCCCATGTTGACTATAACACTTGATTCTGGGGCTTCTTTAACAGAAGAACCCAGATTTTTCTTTCCCGAGCATCAGAGCGGTTAAAGCAGACCACTGAGCATCTCCATGTCTTCAGTCAGGTCCTCTATTACACTCCCATTCTCTGAAGTGAAAGGCCAATCTCATAAATTAGTCGCAAACCATTTGATTTGCCTCTTCGGTTAAATTGAATCATTTGGGTGAACAGTCCTAATCAGATCCTCAAGATCCGGCCAAACCACCTTCATCTCCATAGAAACCACCTAATCCATCAGTCACTCCCTAAGTAGTGCCCTGAAGACGAGAATGACGAGGAGCTGTATTGATGGTCATTAGAGGAGAGCACCTGCACCGTGGCACGCAGAGGCCTTCATACACACAAAGATGCTTTTGTCATTGAGGATGGGAAGTATTGGGAAAATTTCGTCTCGGGCAAAGGAGGGACTCCAAGGGTTCTTATCAAACACGAGCTGTCTTTATAAAGTTTGCGGCAGTCGTTCAAACACTTAAAGGTGACATATCATGAAAATCTGACTTTTCCAGGTTTTAAGTGCTATAATCAGGTCCCCGGTGCATCTACCAACCAAGCAAACGTGAAAAAGATGAACCCAGTAACTTTGTTTTGGTAAGCCTTTTTCTGCAAGCGTCTGAAAAAACGAGCGCGTCTGATTTCAATCCTTTGGTGACGTGGCAAAGGGATCTCATTATAATATTACCGCCCCTTAATCTGTAAATTTCCACCCACGCCACCGTCATTTTGATTTCACAAGCGACAACGGTGTACCAGTTCTAATGCCATGGTGAAAGTTTGAGCAAAACATGCTAACTGTTCTGTGTTTGGCTGCACAGACGAGCACAGAACACTGTTTAGAGTCCCAGCCTCAGAGGAGACGAGAGAGCAGTGCATTTATTGATTTATTTACTGTATATTGCTGCTGCCACAGAAATCTAAAATAAACATGCGATTTATTTCCCAGCTGTTTACCTTCACAGACATAACCCACTGTTTTTTGTAACTCATGTGTGCTTTTAACGTAAACTTGTGTGTGAATGAGAACTTAGTTTAGTACTCACATGCTGTGACAGCCGCTTTCTGTGCGTGTGCTTCGGATGTGTGCGCTCAGAAAACCGTATATCAGAAGTTTAAACTCATATGGTTTAAAACG